GAGAGAGAGAGAGAAACATTGAGTGAGGAAGTGGAGGAGATCAGACAGTTTAGACTTGATCACATCAAACGGAAAAGACATATCCAAAACAGACAGAAAGACAGGGAAACAAACAAGTGAAAAAAAACGGGACATTTCGCGCACGCGCGGGATGCACCGGCGTCCCTGGCAAACACGGACTGGTTCACGGTCAAATCAGAACAAGCAGAGAAAGGAGAGAGGAAGATTTATTTAAGATCGAAGCGCTGTTTCAAATCGTTCATCACATCTTCCGTCAGGTCCACATCGGTCATCAGAGCAGCCATATTTTGTAGTGCCTCCTTGTACTGAGACGTGTTACGATGATCATCACCATCAGAGGTGGTTGAAGTGTTCAAATCTATTCAAAGCACAAAAAGAAATGGGAAAAAGGCATGAAAACTTGAAAGTCTATCTGGGTCGGTTTGTATCTGTTCGTATACGAGTGAAATAAAAACAAGACCACCACCAACCGCAAAGTGAGCAGATCCGATGACCGAAAACCACCGAAATGATGAGATGGAATGCTCAGAAGATTATTCGCTACACGTGCCGTGCCAATACGCATGAGAACGGTCATTCCAAATAGTGCCTCAACATCGTCAATGGGGCCTGGTTTGGACTCAAAAAGTTTATCGAGTTATTGTCAGATGGATCAACGACCACAATACGGAATCAAGGGATAATCAACCATTCAGGCGAATGCAAATCATCAAATGCCCTTGATTGGAAGACACCATCCAACGATGGAGCTACGATGAGATTAAAACTTCGAAGAAGATAGTGCCAGAAGACTATTCTTGCAACTCCCAAGGTCACCAGGAAAAGTGAACTTTTGAGGAGCACCTCAAGCATAACTTACTGCATTGCTCGCATGGATGGTTTATCTAATAAGCAGACTAGCATCACTACGGTCGATATTCTTAATTCGGATCGGTAAAACGTTTCAACTAGAATGGATGGAACGATGAATGCATATTTATCAGTGCGTAACCAGGGGTTAACAGAAATGCTTTTCGGTGACCTTCTGTATGGGAATAAACCAACTTCGTGAAAATCTTGAGGAAACGGCCCCGGTTGGCGTCTCCAATACCACGCGGTCTTCTTTGAGGCTGCACGTCTAGCGGCTTCATATTCAATTGAAATCTGTTCAGTTTGAAAAACCATAAACCATACACTTTCGTGCGCCGGTTTTGGTCGCAGTCTTTTGACTTCCCATTTAAACGAACAGCAGAAGTGTGTGTGTGTGTGTGTTGAATGGCAGCCCGTTGATTGGCCGCTTCCGCCTTCCTGAAAATTTTTTTTTTTTGTATATAAATATATATATACATATATTTAATGCTTGAATCAACATCATTCGTGAGTCACACGATCCAGTTAGTTCACATAAGCCATAAAACGAGAGGGAACAGTACAAAAGACAAAACCATATCAGCTGTGACATCACGTGTCTAGCAAAATGCACAACAATAGATGATGTAGCACGCGATAACGGAGTGGATACAGAATATGGAAGCTATTACCACACTAATACTCATACACACAATACAAGCAGGCCAAAACAATCGGTCAAGCCGTGCCTGGTGCTGCATGAAGATTGCGCATCTCGTGGA